GGTTAACTATACCTTGAATCAGTGTTGATATTTAAGATTTTTAAATTTAATGACGAAAAGTGTAACTTTTGGAGCTTAATACTTTGGTGTTGTGGGTGTAAAAGGTCGTGTTGTAGTTAGCTCCGCGAAGTTTTTTAAATTCTGCGGTTTTATTAGCTTAACGCGATTTCAAATGCAAATAGCGATTCATATATATAATTGGGACTTTGAGACTAGGAAGAAAACGGTGAAAGTGAAGAGAATAGTGATAGGCGAAAAGGCGCGCAGCAGCGGCTTCGTGTTTTACCTCTAGTAAACACAACACATCATACAAACACAAATAACGAATTGTGAACCATAATAGACGCAGGTGTCGATAACACCGTGCGACAACAAGAACGATAGAATACAAGATTGCGCATTCCCGCAGAATGACGTTTGTGGCAACGGGTAAACAAAGAATATGGCGAAGAACAATGAGTTGACAGTTGTGAATTTGCAATGAGAAAACGTGTTTTCTTCACAATTCACCAATTTTTCAAGCCATCTTATAGCAAATTAAGCACAACGTTAACAAAAATTATACAACCACTCTTGAAATGTGTTCAAAAGAATAGAAAGAATTTTGTGTTTGTATTGCAGGTGCCGGAAAAGTGATAATATCTTGTCGCAGCGCATGTTTTCCTACAGAAAGTGGTCGATGCTTGCTTACCTCCGATTTTAATTTGTAATTTGTGGTATTTCAACGTTTTCAACTTAACATGTCGTGTTTAAAAGTGGTGCTTTCAATTGTATGTGGGCTGGTGTTGCTGTTTGAAAACTGTGAAGCTGTGGAAGCTTTTGACAAATCTCCAAAGGACCAAAAGGAAAAATCAACTAAGTTGCCGCCTTGTAAATCATGCACTGTGCTTGTGGAATCATTTAATTTGGTGAGTGCGTGGCAGTAATAACAAATTTGTGTCGTATTAATATAAACTTTGCTTACAGGGTTTGGAAATAATAAGTCGCGGCAGGCATGCCGGTGGTGATGCAGCTTAATTTTCATATTTTCCATAAATGAAATGGTGCTTTATCATGCGCGGAATGCACTTAAAGGCATGGTACGTCCTCAGAGTTTAAAGATTTGTCAATTCCAAATCAACACGGGCTTCATACCGGAACAAGAAACATTGATAACATTTTCCTCGAATGATCTCGATGATTTACCGGATGCCGATCAGGTTCCTCATGACTTTTAGGTTTCGCTGTCGTTGAGTTTCACGGATAACGAATTTCCGCCGAGTAGGAATCCTCCTTGGTTACCAGCAAAGCCCATAAGAAACGCACAACATATATTTAGTTCGCAATTAGAATTCGAGGAAATGGTGGATAATTTCGGCAAGTCCCTATAGTATTTCCGCCCATTTCAATTATTTATTTATTTTCCTTACAACAGTGACAAAACCTAGTTCGATCAACAAACCTACGCCTGTTAGGTCAGCTGCTTCCGTAGATAACGCCTATTTTACCAGATGCTACCGAAATAAAGCAAGAGGATGTACCTCGAATCCAACCTCAACCATCACCACCAATAGACATGCTCAATTTAAACCAGCCCCAACCCCAGCTGCCGGTGCAAGATCCACAAGCCACAACGAGTGACGCTAGTTTCGATTTGCTTGGAGCATTCGGGGATGATAATTCATCTGGCATTGGCTCGGCTCCAATACCTGATATTTTAGGTAAGGATTCGGTAGATTCAAAAAAGTCAGACTTTTAGGCGGCCATCCAAATTAATATTTGCTAAGTTCTGAATTGAGACCTACATTTCTATTTTAGAAATTAATGTACAACCAACTTCAAATGTCAACCTTGATGATATCTTCGGCTCAGTTGCTTCATCGGCGCCGAAAATCAACGTGGAGTTTAATAGTTTTTCTGTAAACCAGCCGACACCAACTTGTGCAAACCAACCTGGTGTATTGGTGTGTGTCGCGTCAGTCTCAGCAAAATAGTCTTGCATCAACAACCAGAGCTCAGTACGTCATAGTTATTTTTCTTCTCTGTTTTTGGAAGCTAGTGCAATGAGGTATAGTTTTAATAAACATTTATTCGATTTGAAATTTTTACTACTATAGTCTTTATTTTGCAGTATATTATATACATATATTTGCAGTATATTATATTTTCATTGATCCGCTTAGTTAAGTTTAACTATAACGAAGCAAAATGATGTGTAAAACCAAGTAATTGCTTTTAAATCTAAGTAAAAAAATATACAATTTAAATGACAATTATTAAAAAGATACATGCATACATATATACGTTAAGAACATAAATATATATAGGATATAAAATTTTAATCTCTTTGTCAACTTAATTGCGGCCCTGAAAAGGGCCTCTTGTTGATTGGTATATATGTATTTATCTAAGCATAAAATTTTAATCTCTTTGTTAATTAATTGGCGGCCCTGAAAAGGGCCTTTGGATGAATCATATTACTTGCCTGCAAATAAATAAGTTTATATTTGTATAAAAGACGCTTGATGATTTTTTAAAACTAGGGACTTACGTAGCATGCAAGTATTTTAATTTTAGGAGTCTGAAATACTGAGATCAGTGCGTGTGAAATGCGGACATTGATTTATGCTGCAAGTAAAGAACGGTTAATTTCTACAAATTTAAAAACGCTTTAGTTCAAAACTTACCACATGTTTGGTATTTTATGCAATACTTACGGTTCTATAATGGTACCATATGGATCGATCTAGGTCAGAGTTTTTTTGGCTTTTCTTTTTCTTTTGTGGGCATTTTCAACGAGTTCTTTATTTAATTTTCGTATTTTGAAGAACATTCTTGCCCTGAAAAATAATTTTTTTACTTTAATGTCGCATTGAATTGTTGCAGCATGCTCAATGTGAGTTTTTACAAAATCATTTGTAATGAGCAAGCCATCTTCGTTCAATGCCTTAAAGACTGACTCAAGACTTCGCATATGGACCATCATAGAGGAGCTTGGTAGGGATAACCCACCCTCATTAAGGTGATCCGCCCAGGAGAATGAATGGTCGTCATTGCTCCTGAACGACGTGCTGGGAATGTCATCCTGCAGCTTGTGGCAAATATATCCCGCTAAATGCTCGAGTCCGTCTAGCTCCAAATCCTCGAATTCCGCTTCTTCAACCGGCCACAGTTCTGCATTAGAGCTTAAGTTTTTCAGCAAAATACCTGTAAATATGGTGAAATATATATGTGCGATTATTAATAAAATATATTTTTATATTTAAGCCGAATGAAATAGATAAAAAATTATTTTGAATTACTTGTAAGCGGAGGCTGCGTGATTTCTATGTCAGGCGTATCATCCTCTTCTACATTAGCAGAATCGGATAATACGCCCTTGTTGTGTCCTAGCAGGTATAGTCGCAGACGGTACTTGAATTCCTGTTGGTCAGGGTGATCATGTAACCCGCCTTTTGACCGAATAATGCCGAAGAAATTTTCGAGTACGCTTATATAGCAACCTGTATGCTTTAGGACTGGCAGCATACAACGATATTGACTTCGCAATATCCTCTTCCGCCCATTTTCGTCGCTTCGACCCAGACTTCAGCTTCGCTATCTGCCCTTTGGTGAAGATGGAAGCTAGTGCATCTTCCACATTTTTCATTTGGGCAGCCATTTCATCCAAACGTTTTTGCAGTGACTCCATTTTCCATGCGTGTCTCTTCAATTGCAGGTCGGACTCCCGCTTCAATGTAGCGAGCTCGGTGCACTGCTTTTCGGTTTCCTTTTTGAGGTGTGCATTTTCGCGCTTGAATGTCTCACTTCAAATAAGAGAAATATAAGATATTATTACATTTACACATAAAGATCTGTTACTTATTAACGTACACTTCCACTTTCAACACTTCCACTTCCTGAAGATCACTATCATAGTAAACACAGTTACGGATAGGTGACGTCGAAGCATCAAGAGTACCGTCCCTGGGCCGATATACTTTATCGCCTTCATTTAAACCAACTAATAAACCACTGACATTAATAATATAATATTTATAGTATAATATTTGCTACCTTCGCAATTTTGTAGCTCAATGATCTCCTCAACGCTGTCATTTTGTGACTCACACACCGGAGCAGGATCTATTTTCCACTCAAAAATGGTTGGCATGGCGTCGCGGCGAAGCGATGGTCGACTAGCAGTTCCTAAGTCTTTTATTAGATATCGACATATATAAGTAATGAAAATAAATGATAGTTACTCATGTAATCCTTATCCGTAAAGTGCTTCATGCATATTACGCTGGTGTCTAAATTGTATGGCTTCTCCTGCCGGCAGAACTCTACCCACTTTCTGGCCAAGGCGTCGTCGCGGGGAAACAAAAAAAAACTGCATTTAGGGCCTTTACCCCTACGGCTGCTGCAATTCAACACACGACACGACATTTTTATAAAGTTTTTATTACAAATAAAAAGTTTTTTACTTCAGAACGCACGAATTACTTCGATTTTTCACTAGAAAATACACAATACGTTTGCACTTGTTTATAAACAAAAAGTTTGTTTACGTATTGCCATAAACGT